CAATAAGTAAATACACCACAAATGTTAGTGTGCACATTTATTTAGTAAACCATTTGCCCTAAAATGTTTTGCTGTGTCTCATACATATGTAATGATGCACGCAGATTGAGTGATCTGTTTTGTTATTTTATAAATGCACAGGTAAATGCCTAAACTCGTATCCATTTCAGTTATTTTCTACTTTCTGCAAAGTGCTTTGGGTGTTGTCTACATTTCACAAGTCTGCAGATTAATATAAACAGGTGCCAATCTGCTTGTTGTGAACGGGCACAATGTGCATTGCATGAAAGTCACAATTTAGACTCTTCATTTTCAAATATGCGTGGTACTGTAAGTGCCCACAATGCTCTCTCGTATTTGACATTCAAGTGCGGCTGCTGTCCGAAATGCATTCCTCGATAGAAGGGCACGAGTAGGCCACCACTGCTGACGCTGTTGTACACGTTACTGAAATGTCTGTTCTGCGTGTCTTTTATTAAAAGGCACGGTAACATGGAGAGCACTCATTGAACAAAAAAGAGAGCTCATTCATTTTCAGCAGTGGGTTCCTCCAATCAAGGATGTGTCCATCAACTTGTTCTTCCATCTGTCAATCACACAGTGTTTCAACTCCTCGTGATGCACACACAACCTTTTTCCGCAGCCTTGATATGAATAAGTTCTGCACATACAGAATCAAATTTGTTTCATACAAATCAATCAAATTAATCATGACTTAAAGGTTAACATTTGTTAAGTTCATTAAACATATGTCAGTTTCCTTTTTTTACATGAAAGCTGACATTTCAATATCCAGGTTAAAGTTTTTTTTTCTTTTATAAAAGTGACAAGAGGTGGCTCTAACTGCTTTGGAAAGGTCGGTATGCCATGGGGCTAGACATTTTTTCTTTGACAGTTGAATGATTGTTTGTGGCATGTTGGCTATTAGGGCTAGGATCACAAGGTATTCATTTATCTTGTCTAAAGGCCAATAGACCTTGTCAGCAAGGCAACTTGTTGATGGCTTGCTTAAGATTAATCCATTGAAAAATGTTTGCATAAAAGATTCTAGTATTTGCACAACACATTCGCTTTTCAAATCTTCAGACGTTGACATGAACGTGTGGTTATATGAATGTGTATGTGCATAAACATATATAGAGGGCCAGAGAGAAAGTGAACCCTTTTTTTACATTTCATGACTAAACCAAAATAATTAAACCTCGGTTGAAACAGTTGAAAGTATTCCTACCAATACATTCTTTTAAAAAAGACTGAAACATTGATCTTAAGTGTAAACAGACAAGTGTTAAAGAGGGCTGTTTCAGCCAGATTTCTAGTATCTCTGAATCTGAAATAAATATGATGTGGGAATGAGAGAAACACATATTTTAATATTCTTCCCAGATACAGATCAGGATAGATATAATTATTTAAAAATTTCCTTCGTTTACCTGAATCGTCTTCCGCCGCACCACATAATATAATGTTCGTGCAAATGTTAGGTGTGCATATATCTGATGATAACATTCCATCTTACTATCTGGCAAAAAGTAATCTTTAACATTAATGCAATGTGATATTATACAATTAGTACATACTCATAAGGTATTTAAAGTAACAATGCAGCTTAGTTCAGTATCTAATTTCAAATTCCCTAACTGCTCTTTATGCAGTTAGGGAATTGCTTAGTTTGTATGACAATTTATTCTTGATCCAAAAATGTATTATTATATTGCTCTCTTATAAAACTAGAGTAATCGAAAGTTGCTAAATAACAGTTGGAGGGACGCAACTTCAAACACAGAGTACAACACTGATGGTAATTATAGGTTGGATCGGAATCATAATTATGACAAAATCAAGCAAGGGTACTTTTGGAATGCTGAACTTAACATTGAAAAAGCAGCAGGTGAGTAAAGTAATCAGGGGACAAATGTAAATCAGGATCATGATGCTGATTTATAAGAAAAGAAAGTGGGCTTGTGACGGACATACAATGTGATAGGTGATGGATAAGATGAGTGATGAGCAGCCAAAGCAGAGATCACAACCAAGAGGGTGATCACCATGGCGATGGAGTAATTCGATCAACTTGTGCTAGTAACATTAATTGTGGCATCACAGGAACATAAGACGATGGCATGGAATGCGGAGGGCTTCATACAGCAGTGGTAGACCACATCTCATGGTGATGATAGTGATTTTTAAACAGGACCATCCCAAAAGCGTTTCACATCATAATTGAAATAACCTGCTGAGAGTGAGATAAAAGGCTTTCTAGAATAAAAGCAACATCTTCAAATTATTTAATTACAGCAGTAAATAAACTGAAGATTACAAAAATCTATCAATAAAAATATTCGTTGGCAAAATCCAGAAATATATCACTTTCTTCTTATATTATCATCACTTCATGTGCGAAATCTCCTGCTGTGTATGTTGTGATAAAATTATGATCCTACTGTGCATTCGCTTACCTCCCCCATAACGTTCACCGGATTATATTGTTAGTTGTTTGGAATTTCCATTGCGTTGCCTATGACACTTTGTCGACTAATCAAACCAAACCTTCCTTGCAGCTGCTGACCTTTAACTGACAGGGCCTGCACAGCATCTTGAGGGTAAACGTGGGCACACTCAATAAGATTATGGCAGTCAGTGATGGGCTGGAATCTTATCTCGGGGTCTACATACAAAAAATTGCCCCCCCCCCCATCTTTACTTGCCCCCTTAATAGCCACTGTAATTATGCATGGCCTCGTATCCTTACCATATCACAGCTGCGTGCAGTTTCACTAGGATCATGACAACAAACAAGCGCGCGTAAATTTCAATTGTGTGGCAACTCGTTAATTCTTGGGCCCTCTTGTCGAGGCTTAAATTACATCCCAGTGACTTGGGGAGTTGAAGAAACCCTTTTGAACTTCAACGGAAACGTGACGACGAGTTTGTGGACATGTGGGACAGATTTAAGCGGGCATTCTTTTATTCTCACAACAGCCTTAAAAACCTGACAGCCACCTGCAATACAGAAACATCTAAGCCAAACTATTTGCCGGTAAATTGTAGGGTTTTATCTGGCTTAGACCCAACATAGCCATTAGGAAAACGACATCTGGTATTACTCCTATTCGATCACTTTGGAAGGAGGCCGCAGCAGTGGACATTTTAAGATCGCAGGTCACACAGAAACTCAGTGCTCAAAGTAACTTTCCACCGGCCTGCGTCCCGGTGATTTATATGAAAAAGGTGTCCACAGGACACACTCCTGGTATTTAACATTAGGGCCCAGCACTGATTTCACAACCTGCACGTGCAATAATTTCTATTTGGCCGGTGGAAAGGGTACCTTTGAACAAGAATCATGCGCAATTAGTGCACTAAAATTACACAGGCAAGATCGTTTGAGAGTGACAAGCTGCCGCTTAAATTGTCAAATATAACAAGTACAAGAATTTGGTGCTTTGTTACGATCATTCAATAACATAATATTTAGAAAGTCTGCTTGCATTACTGCATTCAATTTGGCATGCTGCAGTGATATGTATGGTTTGGGGTTTAGCGCTATGTTTACCTATGAATGGCACAATGGACAATGTTTATAACTTGCCCGTGCCTGATCTCAGAATTGCTAAATGACAGCTCCAGTTTATAACACGAAATTCAACGAATTTCTTCATGGTGAGAGTTGCATGAAGAATGTTATATCGACACACAACATAATTCAAATAACAATCATAAATTAGTGGACTGGTCAGTCACCACAACGGATTACCAATTAATTGTAAGTGAAGAAAGTGGTACATTTGTGCCAGATTTCAAGTGGCAGATTTTGAAGCCAGTCGTTTCTTCGTTCAAATGCTCTGAAACATTGTTCCACAATTTAAACATGAACATTATCTATCAGTTTTAAAATACTACCAAAAGGGTCTCTGAATTCACTTAAGGTAAGCCATAATGATAAACTGCATGGCGACAGACGGTTATAATTTCCTTGGATGGGCCTCATTGAACACACAGATGTATTGCAACAGGGTGTTTGAAAATTCAGAGTCGTGCTGGCCTCATGGGCCATAAGTTGAAACCCCGATTGCTGTCATGGTCTTGTGGCTTTAGGCAAAGGGCTGTTATCACCCAGTAATGCCTGTATCTGAGCTGATAATGACCCTCTCTCATGGGTGGGCAGATAGGTGTCTCAGAGATAACCATTATTTGTGCACTTTCAGCAACAGACACAATCTGCTCACTGGGGGATATATTAATAAACTGCTGGAGTAGCAACATATAAATGCACTGTGCTTGAAGTGTGACTATTTGTTTGTGATAATATTTTTAATTAAATTAATGGCAGAGACATTTTTAGAAAGACCGCTGAAACATTCCATTGTGTTTAGTAAAATGGGAAAAATTATTTTGCTTCTTTTTTTCTATAAGTGCAGGCACTTAACGTTATTGTTGACATATGGAAGTATTTTAGACCATGGGTGACAGCTATTGTTATGTTAAACACGTAAAAAAATCATTTCACTGTAAACACAACAAAAAGGCATTATTTTTTATACCATATTACTCACTGAACTACATCTATACTTTTAACTAGGTATATAAACATATAACATTTTAAAACTGCCACTATAAGTCATCTATAAAAAAATAAAAAAATGCCTCCATTATTTGCAAAAGTTGTTATGCGCAACGCCGTAAAAGGTACATTTCACTGTTTTCGTTTAGAGTTTTAAACTACCGTAATACCAATTGTGTCCAATACACCTTTGATTATGGTTGCCCAAGTTAAAAAGAAAGCACCCCCATCTTTAGCACAGTGCAAAGGCAAGGTAAGACTAGTTGAATCAAACAAATGCAACCGGTTAAAATAATTCCACTTCCAGTGCGATATGTATAGGTATGTTGTAACTACCCACAGCGACAGGTTTGAGTGATATCTTGACACTCACCGTGCAGTTTAAAGAACGTCTTGGGCTCAAACTGCTCCGGGTCCAACCCATCGCTTTCCTCCCAAACCTCCTGAAGCTGGTCTTTACTCCCCTGTGCACAAACACGGCCGACAACACAGTTGGGTCAACATTGATCTACGAGTAATGTTCCACACGCACCACTGAACTACCACCAATGTTCCACGACGAGACAGAAATTGATGACAGTGGATCAGTGATTGAACATGCAGATGGACAATGGATGAGGTCATGGACATGTGCAAAAAATACAATGAACGTTTTCTAAGATTCTTGTGTACAATGTGATGGTGTGAAAGTTAAGTTTTGGCACTTCTAATAAAAAACACACAATGTCGAAAACTTTAAGGTGGGGTGGTGTTGAAAGGAAGGTTTTCACAAGTCAAGCTGCAGTACTGATGTAAGGGTATGTTCACAGGCGAGTTCCCTTTCATTCAGCAGCAGATAGGAACCTGACCCAGCATGCATGATCTACCAATGCATTCTCATGTTGAAGGCTGCAACCACAGCTATTTATTTCATGACAGTATAAACAGCACAATGTTTTTTCACGTGGCAGATTTATTGCACTGTGTGTTGCTTTATTTGTATGATGATGGACCTTGTACCATCCGGACATAAAATGTTAATGCAATTAAACTTCTTTCTTTAGAAACAGGTGAAAAACTGTCGCAATATTGCAAACAATTAACTTATGACAGTCAATTTATTTGAGATGTCATGATGATTAATGTCCTAGGTGTTTTAGTTGGCCATTTGTAAATTGGCATAAAAACAAGTTGTATGGCCTGAACATCCATGAGGTTTAATTTGGAAAATGAAGGAAATAGACATGCCATGCCTGGGCAAAGTGGCTCACTGTCAATGACCAAGGCTGTCCAAGCCATCTTTTATCCAGCGGTGATAGCTTTGGCCTGAAATGTAAAATGAGTTCCACCCACAATGCCATGCATCAAGACCATTTGTGTAGACAGTTACCATAGGCACAGCTCTCCTTCCAGAATTAAACACACTGGCAGTGTTACAAGTCCAGCTGTATAATGTGGAGTGCAAACCACTCTGTGCCCGTTGAAAGAATGCAGTAATAAATGTCCCCCTATGGTATTTTAAACCATGCTACTTAAGAGCAATTCAGGCCGCATTCTGTACAGGATAAAATAGGTCTGTAATCTTTAAAATGAAAGAGTAAAAAGTATTTTCTTTCCAATGGCAGAGTGAATGGCTTGGTCTTAAACACTGGCTCCAAGTGAAATAAATACCAAGGGTGTTCTGGTTCTTTTTTATGTTCGTAAATCCCTATTATCAATGTATGGTTATGGTAATCTCGACACATTGAACGGTATGTGTGGTGTGTATATTTTAATGGCCAATTTAACTGTTCAGGCTACATTAAACGACAATCATTGGGGGCTTTTGGCCTCAATACTCATTAAAGTAAAGCACTCCTATTTGATAGGTTCCAGATTATATCGCTGCAATTAAATGGTTGCCAGAGAATAATAATCACACGATGTGCCATGCATACCTTTTGAAGGGGACAATAAACATTGTTTACGATGTGATCCTAATGGTGCAGATGATCACATGTCGAAGTTGATCGGACAGATAATACATTATTCAACTGTATGTCAGCTCATCTTATCAAATGGAAATACAAGTCAAGCTAACTTGTTTTTTCAAAAATCAAGTGGTTTGTAGCACTACTCATCTCTAGACACAACACTGACTGTTAAGGAAAGTGGTGGCTGAGCCAGAAGTGATGATGGCCAATGGCTGCAACTGGTGACGCCATGGCAGTCAAACGAGCGTACGACCATATTGGGATGGAATGATGACATCATCTCAAGGTACAGAAGCGAGAATTATTCTAGCATGGCAATATTGTGGGGATACATCTGGGGTGGGGTGATGATATGAACTGAGGCGTATTAGTAAAAAAAATTGTTGGCGCTGCAAAACAGACATGCCTAAAATACAAATGCTTCACTTCCATTGCTTATATCGGTGGGTCCTATGTGTACCTTAGAGCCAGATTAACTTGTATTTGAAAATTGTAATATTATACATTCTTTTCTTGAATAACATTCTAGTCTCCCCGACAAAATGGACGTGGCAAACCAACATAGGGAGACGACTGCCCAGCAACAGGGTTGCCTGAATGTTGTTGATTTTTGATGAAGTGGCATTTGTAAGCATTTTTTAAGTTTATTTATTTATATGCTTTCATAAATTGAGCAAGGCTATGAGTATCATTTGACTATGACGTCACTTGCAACACAGTAATTTGTTTAAAGTTAAAAAAATACATTTTGCATATAAGCTTGGCCATGTCTATTGGAACAAGCTGCACATTATCAAAAGCGATTATCAAAAACACAAATCGAACAAGCTCTTCCTTTCCCTAAACTTGTTTGAACCGAACGTTATTTTAAGCAACATTGCGTCAACACCTCAAATAAAAACGCTGCAAAAATCAGACCGAACTTCCTACGAGCCTTTGATTAGAAATTACAGAAACAGATTGTGTTTTGTGGCAGCCTGGCAGGCGCTGCGTGCATTTCACCACCGGTGTCTGGAAACTGGCAGCAGAAACTGTAATTTCATCGCTGGCTTAATATTGTACAGTGTCAATTTACACGCCACGTGTACAGGAACGCACAGCTCACCGTGTGTGTTATCATGGCGTGAAAGCATAAAAGAGCTCCGTGGCAGGTTTTAAATTGGGCACTAAAGTACAGAAAATATACTACCACTGCTCAGTATCTGTACATAGAACATGTCGGTATAGAATTTGAGCCGAGTACTCAGTATTAATGACTTGTTTTATCAATCGTATGTGCGAATGTATGATTATGTTCGTGTGCGTGGGTTGTGTGGAGGGAGACTGTGTGAGAGAAGAGAAAGAATGAGTAGCAGTGCCATAGTCAATCGCACACTGCACTGTGATCCTAATGATCCAGATTCAATTCCTTTCTATGCACGTCAACAGTGGCAAGTGGTACCTGGACCTGAATAAATACTGTAAGCAGACAATACTCACATATTCCTTGGGTCTTTTGGTAAAGTCACGTAAATAGGTTAAAAGAAAATCCCAAAATAACAAAAAACTACGACCTTTCGATCGCAACACAAGCGGTCGTCATCAGGAAGACCCAAAGAATATGAATTCCTGCAGTCACGAAAGCTTTAAGTCAAAATGCTCACATACTTGTCCCTCCATATATACCTATTCTATCAGTCACATCGCTATTGGTTCACACATACATAAACTCAGCCTTGAACACCAGGTGAACACTTGCACGGAAAGACACAGGGGCACACAAACCTTAGCAGCTGCTTGCCAATAGCATATTTCCCGTGAGGATATTACTCCTCTGTATGTACGTATGTTGAACTTCTTTAGTACCATACGTAGACAACAAAATAAACGAATAATGGAGTTCTATAAAAATGAGTTTTAAAACTAGATTTCAAAGTGCATAGCTCCAGTGGATTCTTAACATCGGAAGGAAGAGCGTTCCAGATGGCCGCAAAAGCGCACTTGAACGCGCGTGCGATGCAGGACCATCTTTGTTCGATGGCTAGCCACAAGCCGCTGTGAGGATGAGTGTAGTTCTAGATTTGAAGCTTTCGTGACTGCAAGGATCCATACTTTTTGGTTTTTTCGGTAATGTCACGTAGGTAAAAAATTAAATAAATTAAAATGAAAACAACTAAATTAAATCACGACATTTCACTACAGCAATTTTGCTTTGTCCGATGGCTAGCCAAAATTCCTTTGTTTCACGAGGGTGTATATTCTATATTAACATTTTTTTAATTGTTTTTAAGTCTCATCTTAATGTAGGAATTAAATTCCGAGAGTGTTTGACCACTTAAATTACGTACACACTATGCGTATGCTGTACGAAACGTACGTAATGTCACCACCGACAACACATGTACTGGGAATACGGTCAAGTATTTCATATTTTTGTCGCCAGCTCTTGTAATGAGTTCAAGTGAGAGCACACAGGTTTTTGCTGGAGCTGTTCTGTAAACAGTAGCCGGGACGTGACAGAATGTGCACTTAAGCAGGTGTCGTACAGAAGGGAGGGCTGGCGACAGGAGGGCTCCTGCCATCCTCCTGGAAAGAGCCCTCAAGCCCAACGAAGACCTGACACGCGCTTGCCCTCACGTACCCACGAATGGCATTTTAAGTAACAAATGGCATCCGATGTAATTTAGTTAACGAAGCCACTAATAGCATTTGTTCATCCTCCCTACCAACCTTAATATGCCTTCGCTAATATGAATACACTATTGTTGGTACTGAAATTTAATCCTCTAAAAGGTAACAATGTTTGAATGTACACTTCGAACTAAATAGTTTCTAGTAATTTTTGTATTACTTTAGTAGAAATACATGTTAATTCTGATTTATATTTTGTTTTTTTTCTGACTTTATGTGAACGAAAAGACACAAATTCACCTGTTTTCTCAATGAAAATAGGTCAATTTCAAAGTATCACTATCCTGGTCACAAAAGCAAAGTTTGTGGGGAATAATAGGCACTTTCTGTACTTTTGAGGCATAAGCAATTCGGAAATAGCACTTATTACCCAGGAACAAAAAACAATTTTTGTTACACAGTGTAAGCAATCTCACTGCCTGAAGAACGCATGTTATTTTTTAATCACGGTTGCGGAGCAGAGGCCCCAAAGGCCAACAATGCCAAGTAGTCAACAACAAACAGCACGTCTAAAGCTTTAATAGATGAGAGTTAATACATTTCTTTGAGCAAGGTTGTACGAACTTGGGAAACATGATGGGCAAGGGATTCCAAAGTCAAGCAGCGAGAGCAAAGAAGCAAAGAGAGAAGTGTCGTGACCTGCAGTGGAGGCGATTGAGCACAGTATGAATGAGGTGCAACACAACAATCAGTCTGGTAAGAAATCAACAAGCAAAGTTCATAGTAAAAATAATCATGGTAGCAGCGATAGAAAAGCAATGAGGAGGCGCCTGTCCACTGGTTAGCGTGTTACTGGAGTGAATCAGCAAGTGCCGGAACCATAAATTATTCCGACTGCTTCACGTTGCATTTTCTATCAAGTGCAGCACGTAGGAGCAGAACACTCAACTCCAGATATGTCCAGTGATCCAACTTGTGTTTTGATGTGAAAATTGGCCAATTTGTACATGTAGCCGACTGGTTATGATAGTAACACAGAGAAAACACACGGCGCGGTCAATTTTAGTCTTGACACATTCGTGGTGTAAAAAAACATAAGCAATACTTTAACATCGAATGTATTCACACCTGTAAGTACAACATTTTGGTTCCATTATTGCAGTAAGTTGAGTGGGGGGAAAAAAAATCTAACAATTAGGCAGGACCTCAAGGCACGAGCATTTTCCTATTATCAGGGAAGCGAACACAAAAGTGCGTTTCAGAAAGGGAGAAAAAAATGGTTAACATGGAGTACGGGCCAGCAACAGCAATGCAATCTTCTGAGAACTTGCTAAAAATATCTGGTTAACAACACATAATACTGGATATTTTCTAGGCAATTACCTAGCTTTAAAATATCCCCGGGGTTACGATGGTTGAGTGCTCCGTTGCGTGACAATTTGCACACTGAATGAGAACCACTGTGTTTTGTTCTCTTTATAATAATGATACCAGAGTGGCTGGTTGATCAACATTCAGCCTCTTCCACACTCCGAGTGCTGTTTGTGCGACATGGATCTGAACTCTTTCGCGTGGTATAGAGGAGGTTGTGTGTTCGTGGCTTCGATTCCCAATCCTGACGTCTGTATATTTGGTGTTTGCATGTTCTCCCTATGGTTGCATGGATTTTTTTTACGGGTCCTCGAGTTTTTCCCTCCACATTTAGAATCATGCGTTTAGAACATTTGGCTGCTTCAAATTTCCACGTGACAAACGACTTCGTTCAGCTATCATTTATGGCCAGGTCGCTTCTGAAAAAGAGCTTCATAGCTCAGTGGGACTTATTTGGTAAAATAAAAAATATAGTTCATAGTTTTATCATATACAAGTGGACATTGTCTGTCTCCACATGACATCCCTCCATATGCGCTTGTCAAACTAAGTGGATGTGGCATGCTTTGACATTTTTGCAGGCTGACACCAATGTAAAATGTTATTTTATAATTTACCGTTTCGTGTTTAACGAGGCGATTCTAAACATGAGACAGAGTACATCGCAGATAAGCTTAATAAAGGATAACAGTGATAAAGTAGAGACTAAATTCAACATGAAATGTGCACCATCCCATTGCTAATGTAAAACACTGCGAATAATTGATGTCAGTGATGAAAATGTGTTTTTCATGTTTATACTTATTAACTAATCACACATATATAGCAATTACATTGCAAAGCATCTAGTTGTAGATACTGTGCAAAACATTTCCATTCTGTCTCTCCAAGTTACAGCAGGGTCCACATCATATTGGCAAATGACTCGCAAAGAAAAAGCACACGGATTCACCTGCAATCATTCAAGTGTCTATTTTGATAGAGCCTATGTGCTTTGCTTTCAATAAACATGTTTGAATGTCTTTTCAAAAAAACTGAATTAGAAAATGATTTGATATCAAGGGACAGGGAATTACAAAAATTCGTATTCGTAAAAGGAATGTGGAGCCAAGATCTTTAATCTTCGAGTGAGACACTTCATGACACACACGATGTGATGATTACTAAGGCACAGCAGGTTAGTAATGACAGAAAGTTTCACTTTAATAATTAAGAGTTGAGCCATGCCAGATGCTAAAGCAAAACAAAGAATGCTGGACCCCATGATTAGTGACAATAAGCCGATTGTGGAAGTGAGCGCAATGTGTGGTGGCATGTCTGAACTCAGTGACACCCTCAATGGAGGTTTAAAATAAGTATAACCCATAAAAACAAAGTTTTTCACTATAAATCCTTTATATGCGTGGCGGCTAGAGTCCTCTCGTCCTCTGGCTTGAGATGGCTGCCACCAATGGGTCAGATGATTGCATTGCACCATTAAGCAATTGGTAATTAAATATAATATTTTTGTCCTAAAAAGTGTAAAATTTTGGAAAAAAATTTTCACGAACATTAATTGTCACGCACAACGAGTATGTGTGGAAAATGTCAGCTCGATTGGATCACGGGAAGTGGGTTAAAAAACGACCGAAAGATTTGCACGGTCCTAAGCAAGCAAGCAAACTTAATATAAAGGATTTAAAAACCCAACAGTAACATGGGTAATCCTACTGAAACCCCATGAACTGAGCAACTTCATGCGAATACTTTGGTGTGATGTATCCAATGTCTCATAAATAATATAGTTCAGCAACTTCCATTTGTAATCTACTTTGATCTTTGTAAAGCCTTAGTGGTAACAAGTGGTGTGATGCTAGCATTGTTCTGTGATATATATATATAGCCCATTCTAAGTATCATATGTTCTGTAGGAAACAAATGAATTAATGTTTTGTGCAGAGTTGTTGTTCACGATCCATACGGCCCAACAAAACGTCTTTCATTATTTGTATTGAAGGACAGACTAGTTGATTGATGAATAAGGGGCTTGTATGATTCACAGATGTATAGATTAGACCGAGCTGTTGATACTTCATGACGTAACAATTTTGTCAATATGGAATGTACCAATGTCAGAAGCTCTAAAAGCTAAAATTACAAGATGACTATAGAAAAAAAAACTCCATTCAATAACCAAAGACGTAATTCCTCACAATCTGGGTCACAATGTATATTCATACTGAAATGATGGATGTGTTATTGGATTACTGGATGGATAGATGAACAGGATGGCTTGGAAAATAAATAGAAAATGGTCGAAGACAGGTAAATGGACGTAAACGTGTCTCAATGGATGGAAGGTTAGAAGGACGGACATGCCAGAATAAGAATCATATTTATTTATATTGGAAGAATACGATGAGCTGCAAAGCTCTTTTTTCACAGACACATGGATGAACAGCTGAAAAGATGGATAGGTGAAAGGATAGAACAATAAATGAATGGAGAGACAGATGGATGGATGTGGAGAGAGAGGTATTTGTTTTTGTTTACATTGGTGCACAGAGGAGGCCGTACCGGGTGGTTGACCTTGGGGTGGTCCTTGTGCTTCTGCTTCATGTCAAGGAAGCGCTTCTCCTCCTCCTGCCGCCGCTCCTCATCCAGCGTCTTCAGAAACTCGCGGCGCTCATGCTCCTTGAGCATCTCGTAGCGCTTGAACTCCTCGTGCCGTGCCGCGTCGTAGTTTTCCAAATCCTTCGTTGCCTGGCAGGGGTCAGGGGTCGTTCGTTGGGGAGCAGGTATGAATTACATGTACATTTATTTGTTTACTAAGACAATGCTTTCATCAACACCGTTTTTTATTCATTATTTTAATGAGCTAAATTATCTATTCAGAGCTATCGCATCATCCAGTGCATCAGAGAATGACCCGTAGAAGCAGAACTGACAGAAGGTATTTTGAGATGCCTAAAACTGACATTTTTAATCCCCACGTTAGGGATACACTTTGCCACGCCACCTGATATGGAGAAATTCCCATCGCGTGACATTCAAACTGATATATTTTTTTCATTCGCAGAACTGAAATTTATCCAAAGTATGTCAAAAGCCGTATGCAATTTGATATATTTTTTTGTACGGATATTTATGGCCAGGCTGAAAGCATCAAATCACTACACTTGACAACTCGTTTAATCAAGAGTTGGTACAAATTTAAACATGAGCGTTGGGTATCCACCCAGGGCCTCAGCAGTACCGGCTCAAAGTGATCCGACCCAAAAGCCACCCATCCATCTATGAGCACCACTTTGGTAAGATTTTCCATCGCTTGAAGCTGTCACTGAAAATGCACGACAGCCATATTTTTAACGGCCGCCATCCATTGTGCGTATGTGTTTACCTCACTTCTCCCATGCAAAAAGAACATCGCAGTCGCGCCAGGCTATAAATTATATTATTTCAATGATTACTAGAGCTCCATTGTGTTGAATAGCAGCTGCACCTGTGAAGAGGCTTATTTTTGGATCAATTTCTTTAAACATACACAAGCCTGCTTAAGTGACGTCAATCACCAGACAAATGAGGAAAAAAACCTACATTTTCCTCAGAGTTTTGGACAATGCCAGGGCTCTGTGGGCCCTGCTTAAGCCAAAGAGGGGAAACAGACGGAGACATAAAACTGCCACAGGCTAGAATAGTCGCTGGGTGTGACTGGAAAGATATTAAGAACGTGAACTTTAAAGTTGCTGATGGACACAGCAAAGTCAAAGAGTTAGGGAAATGGCAGGTTGACTCAGGAGTCAATATTTAAATACACACACGTTTCCTGCATTTATAGACCATTCCTTCCCTGAGACCCTAAACAAACAATGTCTTAAAACTTGTGGCACATTGTAAAGGGACATAAGAATGCATACTTATGGGTGTCATTGAAGATACTGTAACAATTTTGTAGATCATCATAATAATTTGATCACGGTGCAGTAGCTTTGTGATTAGAAGTTACATTCTGTTCATTTATATTTTAGTTCCTGTGAACACAATACGAGGGATTCTGGGAGATATATGCACCATCGTTCGATGTCATCAAAGGCTTTAACAAGCTACAACAGCTGCACAATAGCACTCATGTGTAGCCTGCATTACCAAAGACAACCATTCATAACTCTTCATGGGTAAACCCAGGCAGCTGTTGACAGATGTCATCCTTATTTACTTAGTTCCATCAAGGTAGTACAATTAGGAGTGTCGGATAGCATGAAGTTCTCACAGTAAGCCTTAAAAACCAAAGTTTTCCAGTCCTTACCCCATTTAATACACATATGTGTTGCCTTAATGAAAAAGTACTATGGGTACATCATTGTTAAACCCACAGCACATGCTATCCTTCAGAAGGAGATGTTCTGTCTGGTGCTGTGTGGATATACAACATTCAATAAATTGTGTGTGTGGGTAGGTTATGGCCTGATGTTCCTTTAAATAACTCATTGGACAGATACTCATGCTTAGCTTAACGAAAATGCTGAAACAAACAATACATCTCCACGAGGGAGGTACACACAGCTCCTTTGTGGAGATGTACTGTTTGGAGAAATAATAAAATAATATGGTTTTCCACAGAGCTGCAACGTATTTGATAAGTATCTTGTGTTTGAAGACGTAAGACTTAAAAACCTAATTTAAAAAACTTTCAGGAGAAATTTAGAAAAGGTATTTAAAAGGCCATAAATGAGAGGATTTTGAAAGTCTCAATTAATAGCGTAATTTTTCCTTAAAATTACTGTAAATATTAAGGCATTTTACGCTAAAAACAAAATAATTCACCATCGAAAATAATTCCAGATCATCAAAGTAAACGTACACTTCACAAACAAACATCGCTCAAGTACATCAAAAGAACATCGGTCTTTGTGAACTTAAACTAAATAACTCTGCGGCGTGAAATAAGGCGTCAACCATAACAAACAACTGAAATGGGTCATGTTGCAATGAACCGAGTAAATGAAGCCAGATTGGCGGAGAAAAGCTAATTCTTTCCGCACACGAAGAAATGGAAATTTATCCCAATTTTAAAGGATCCAGCAAAGCATAACTTCTGCTCAAGCATTAAAAAAAACATTCTCAACCACTTCAAACCGACTAAATGAACATTGGCCAAACACCAGTGACAAGCAGACAAATACACTATTAAGAACTATTTCTTAGAGGTTTATGTACAGATGCATTATTGCACTTCCCCATATTAAAGCTATATTTATGTTTAAAAAAATCATGGGAATCTTTCAGTGACTGAGAGTTCTTAAAAATAACTCCATAAATTATAGCATTGTAAAAGGAACATGCAATCTGCTGGATCATTGGAAAGCAACATGGCATGGGACTATCTGATTGTATGTCTATTCGTAGAGGTCTGAGGGGGCCTCAAAGCCTCAGTAGGTACCACCTTAGATGTCCACCAACCTCAGCCGGACAGAATGCTCGATGTATTGATGGCTTTCTAGGCTTTCCTTAACGTTACGCTGCCAAATAGACGTGACCACTCTTGTACCCATGCACATCTCCCTGCCCTCTGAGTTTCCAAATAAGCCGCCATGACTCTGACAGAATGATGAATCACTACCCAAATTCTTACATTAAAGTAGAGAAATCATGGTGTGCAATGTGCAGCCAATTTTTGGTATTTGCTTTTGTGACCTTTCATTTTTTTAAGTGTGTTCTTTTTTTGTATTTGCTTTTGTGACCTTTCATTTTTAAAGTGTGTTATTTTTTTCCAGACCAACTTACACCGGCTTGTTACAAGACGCCTCATTCTCTGGAAAAATAAAGCTAAGTAATAATGGAAGAATCATCATTTCTCTAATTGGCAATGAAGTACAATTTAATGCATACACAATGTGCAGTTAAAGTATGATAGAGAGTTGCATTCATTGCTCAGACATGGCCTGCAAGCCAGGAATCATTAATCTCCCTTTGTAAGTTTAAACTAGGGCTGTGTGACACAGTCAGTAGAGTCCAGTACAGATCTCATCGACACATGCAATGCCACTCGCTGAATAAAGAGCTATGAGCCCATTTCATGTGACAGCACTGGTATCCAGTTAGCATGTAACAATGATTTTATTCATTATTTAACATCGATTCTTATATGCACAATATGTGCATTGATTTGCGTGTGTGAGAATTTATTCTTTAAGATATTCATAAATCATATTCTACCTCTAAATGTATGCTAATGGGGAAAACCAAGATGAGCAAATAACATTTTTGTAATTTTTTTTATAAGATTGAACCGTGATAAAAAAGTATTAATTCTTGAATCCAAAAGCGATTCTAAATCGTGACATTCCAATGAATCCCTGAGCAGCGCAGAGATTCATTACATGCCTAGAATCCAGTACACATCTAGACTTGGCTGCAGACTGTTGGCATGTTAAAGGTTGAATGCCACTGTGAATGTGTGCTACGAAGTAGTAAATATCATGCAGTGGTGTGGGGCATACGGTCTTGATGAGCTTTTCCAGGTCCTGAGGCTCGAAGCTGTGTGGGTTGTTGTGGTCCAGATGCTCAAACTGCTTCAGCAAAGACTGGTGATCCATACGCAGGTCTATGTTGCGGAGGAAACACAGCGGTGGGTTAATGTCAGAGCAATGGCATCAAAGGGGTAAGGTCAGCTCCACAATCTCTTGCCACTGCAGCAGAACGCCTGCCACTTTTCAAGGGGCATTTGACTCCCCGCTGTCCATTCCAGAGGGATTGAGAGAGCATGGTTTACCGGTACACTTTACCCCACCTCAAGAAATCAATCAATCCAGCTTATTGGCGAGACAAAGTTTGTGAATGAACAAGTCTCCCCAACATTTCATTTACAAAAAAAATATTTTACCAGGAAAGGCCCACTCACGATATAGCTTTTTTCAGAAGCGACCTGGTCACAAATGATAGCTCAACAAAGTGGCTTATCACGTGGAAATTTATAGCAGCTAAATACTCTAAACACATGTTTCTAAATGTGGAGGGGAAAAAGCGGAAGACCGGGAGAAAACTCCACGCACCCACGGGGAGAACACGCACACTCCAAATATACAGGCGTCAGGGTCAGGATCGAACACACAACCTCCTTCCTGCATACCAGGCAGGGAGTTAACATCTCGCCACCGTACCCTGAATAACAATTTAATAGTAATGCACTTTATATATCTGATACTGTTCACTTAAACATGAACACAGTCATGTAAAAATGAAGGCGAGTAGGTTCACCATTTAGAAAGTCTGCTGGAGTGGATGGTCAGAGCATATACTCACCAATTATGCAGCCACAATGATCCGAATATAAAGTGCATGTTTTTCCCGACAGTTTTAATTCATGAGTCTCATGCACAGAATAAAAGTTTTGCAATATTTGTGTCTAATTTTAGGGAAAATTGAGTGACTGAGTCCTGAATAGAGATTACTTTATTAGGTTTCTAGAACGGGGCCTTAAGAAACATGCATAAATATTAACCGCATCTACAAAGGTTCTATTATTTTTCTTGAATTCATTTATGCTTTGTAAAAAGGGCACGAAGAAGGCCAGACGTTGACAGCTGCTCATGGCTAAATATATAACCCCATTTTAGTATTATATTAAAAACATTCCTCCCTACCTTCCTTGTATAAAAATGTTAGCATCCACTTTTGGTAAACAACTTTCACCAAATGAGATCAAGTGCCAATTTCAAGATTTAAATTACACGCTTTTCATCACACACTTGAGTAAACTTAAGCGGATATGCATTTCAAAAACCAATTTATAAATTTCAGAGAAGCAGGATTAACTCGCAACATAATACCTGAAAAATATTTACCTTCGATAAAAAAAAAAACATTACTTCAATTTAGGAGTAAACGTGTAAATGAACCAGAAAAATAAACTTGTGTTTCCCCAAATAAAAATTTCTACGACAAAATTTCATCAGAGCAGTTATACCAATCAAATGTTTGTGCTTGCATAAAATAGCCAAATATAATTAACTTTTGAAGCCAAAAGGGTATTATTTGTTGCCACGTCAGAATTTTTGTAGGTGGTGACTTTCTTTGTATGGATTTTTCCAATACCCCATGTGACTGCTGGACCAAAAGAGCCGCATTTGAATTAATGAAATTCTCTCTCGATGCTTCAGCCAATGTTCACATAAGCATCACCTGGGATTATATGATGTTTACTCAATAATGCACAATGTCTGAAAGAGCTCAAACTCTACACAGCTACTTTGGCTGAATATTCAGACGTGGTATTTGGAGAGTGAAGATAAAATGAGAGAGCCAGGCTTTAACATATGGCAAACATACCACTTCAAAAATCACAATTAAAATGTAACATCAATGTAGTACAACGTTTATAAACAGAAATGGTCAGGATTGGCCTGTGAATGTGATCTGGATTAAGTTTAACACCATAACTCACTGCCTATTGTATTTCCCCACGTGTGAATTATGCATTCATAATCAACGTTTTTGGGTTAAACTGAATTATGCATATTGTAGTAATTTGAGAGGCAGCTAACGTTTGGTTGGTTTAAAGTGTGGGTATCTCTACCACTCTCAGCTGAGAATGCAAGCGAAATCTCCCATGAGATTCCCATGAGATTTAGCTCAAAGTGAACTATTACCTTTATATATTTACCTAATACATCACTAGTTTACATTATTGGCACTATGTACAGGCATTTATATGTCCATCCCATTCATAAATCCTCTGCTGGATGATGGCCTCCCCACGACATGAGAGTCATGGGGTATTTTACCATACATGACCATTCTGGTCACTGTGAGTTGAAGACAGGGGATGCATATGTTGCGCAAAGTACAGTACAACAATGCATTGTGCTGCAATTCCCACTGCGGACAATGCAGGCCCACAGCAGCTGACAACATTTATTTTGAAGACTATGACCAAATCACCCAGAATGCAATAGATTTCAGATACGAAGCAGGGCTGAGCCTGGATGACACTTGGTTATCTACTGTTCATAAAAAACGGCCAAGGCATATGATTAATGTATATGTGCCCATCTAGTCTGGAAAAATCTAAGCCTAAAATCAAATCAAATTAACTATATGTGTACATGGGAATTCTATAAAAATAAATGTGCTGAATCAACTGCAGTGGTTCGTGAAAACATACAATTATGTCTGTGCAAGAAACACATCCTTTCTTTTCCATTCCTCTGTTGCAAATACAAAATGTTGGGGGGGAAAATACCTTGAAATTGTCTTTTTATATTAGATGAGGAATTGCAATATTGCATGATAAGTCGTTGTCTGCTAAAAGCAGGTCCTTGCTTATTTTTCGGAAAATAAATCATAAGAAATATAACTCTCAAATTATTCGAAGTACAACCCTTTTATGATATTACCGCATGGCATTCATGACATGCATGACCTGGCTTCAAAAGCCACACATGCACCATTGCTTAAAGGCAAAGCAAGCAAGGACCAACACCTCCCCCAAGGCAAACAAGTCACTGTGGCCGGGAACAGGCTGTGATGGATATCCCTAACAAATGTGCGGCCAATGACAACAGCGGCTAAGGATGAAGAATACTCATTGCATTACATTTCCAAAATAACTTAATTTAGAATATCAGTAACCTCCAGAGATCACACCCACCCTTTGCTTCGTAGAAAAGTGCCTTTTTATAAATAAGCAAAACAAGTGACCGAACAGCCCGTCTCGACGACCTTGTTGATTGAGATAACAAGGCTTTATTGTACTCATACCAAAACCTGAATTTGACGGGCTTGATGAAATAAACACATGATGTAAGTTATGCATCAATTACATGCAAGGGGATGAGTCATGGGTGCGGATCGTAGACATTGCCTCTTGTTCTTCTGATAAATTCTCGGTCAGCACAACTTGAATTTTTAGAGACTTGAGATAACTAGTCTGACTTAATAGCCACTGGATGGCCATCCTATACTGCTGTCCGACAGTGTAGGCATTCACTCACCCGATATCTATACATCGCAGAAATGTGTGATGCACTGACGCACTGAACAATCTCACATCATGCATTCCAAGGCAACACTGTGTTAACGAGAGCACACTACCGTTTGTGAATTCCTATTCCAAGTGAGTGCTCAACCTTTTGCCATGAGAATAAAGTGCTTGATTTTCTATGAAGCATCTAATTTACATTGTGGCATGCGAGCTACATGTAGAGGCAATGGTAGTGTGGTTGTCAATGTAGCTAAGACTCACACACTTGCTTTTCAATTTGTGTACACCACAAAAGGGAATGTTTATGAGAACTAGTTGGACAGTTAGGCGATGAGCAGGTTGCATGGGGTGGGGGTAAAACATGGCTACTTCCACATCTTCCAAGACACCAGGCCATCGGGGAAGAGTAGGCCAAAGGGCCCCCCTTGAGCTCCCTGGAGTGGAAGCCCTTCCACAAACAGTGACACTAACCTTGCTCGGAATTCAAACATGCTTCATTTTGCATAGCGGACCAGGAGGGCAAGTATTCATTCTGATTTGATGGCATTGTCTCCTGTAATGCAAGGCTAATGCTACTATGCTAAACCTATACCCTCATTACAAGGTGCAATATGAAACTAACGTTATCATGAACAATCCCTGTATGTTGAACATCTTTCGCACCGTACGGAGCCAACTGTGCTAATCGGATGTGCGGGGGAAGGACAATAAACTAAACACAAAAAGTAGTTCTCAAGAAATTAGTTTTCAATCTAGATTTAAAAGTGCATAGCTCCAATGGTTTTCTAATATCGGAAGGAAGAATATTCCAGATGACCGCAGAAGCACATCTGAAAGTGCGCGATACAGTGACCATCTTTGTTCGATGGCTAGTCACAAGCCGCTGTGAGGATGATTGTAATTCTAGATTTGAAGTTTTCATGACTGCAAGGATCCATACTTTTTGTTTTTTTCGGTAAAGTCACGTAGGTAAAAAATAAACTAAATTAAAACAACTCAATTAAATCACGACATTTCACTACAGCAATTTTGCTGTGGCTGTTCCACCTGAAGACGGAAGCTTGTGTTGCTTCCGAAACGTCGTGATTTAATTTAGTTGTTTCCATTTAATTTATTTATTTTTACCTACGTGACTTTACCAAAAAAAACTAAAAGGATGATTGCAGTTGCGTGATGGTTTATGCTCCTTGACGAAATCAGCAAGGTATTGTAGTTCATTTGTGGAAAGCATTTTGTGTGTGCCCAGTGCGACCTTAAAATGTATTCGTTCCTCAACCGGAAGCCAATGCGGCTCACTGGATGGACATGGTCGGATCAACAATAATGACAATAAAGCACACCTTTGCCTTGTGCCGCATCCATCTTGGCCTTGATGAGCATGCGCAGACGAGCCACCTCCTGCCTCTTGAGCTCATCAAGCTTGGAGCGCACGTTGTGGCTGACAAAGTCCAGCTCCTTGCTCAGGCGTCCGTTCTGCTCACCACACACACACAGCCAATATGAAGATATATACCCCTTTTCCTCTGACACATCCAAACCGAGCCAGTGTGTTAACTTCACGGTAAGGGTGGTTTTCCACTGGCTATTTGCCGTGCCTAGCCAAAAACCAACCGTGACACGCTGGCCTCACAAGACGTCTGAATCTATCTTGGGGCCAAGTAAGGCCAGGGCAAATGACTAATGATATGTGACCTAAATAAGTACACTGTGAGGACACAGCATCACCACCTCACCTACATACGCCTCAAAGCATTAATTTTGTGTGATACGAGTGGGATGGTTCGGTTTGTGTCGTAGAAAAACCTGGCACCTCCTGAGCTAGCTTGGCCCTGGCGTGGTTGTAGAGTAGGAAAGAGATGACATCGTCCTATATCGTGTAGGGATAAGTACTGCTAGCGAGCGCCTTTTAAGACTGGCACAGTGCACAATATTCATTTAAGGATGAGTTTATCGAGGTTTAGATAAAATTTTATCGTGATGTGTGTGGCCAGTAATCAATCCCAGGTCACCGAGTTCCTAGTAGAGTAAGTGAAGAACTGCACTCCTGTTAAGAAAAACACATGTATCCGAATGCATTCACAACCACAAATAAACAGAACAAAGGCAAATATCCCACAGTTAGTAACATGGAATGTTGGTACAAGCGCTGCTATCAAGCACGAGTTTGGCCAGTATGCCACAAACAAGAGTGGTGTAGTGAATACCTAGACCATATTTGTCTTAATGATGGTTACACACAACATGAGCTACCAATTAATTATAGGGTAAGTTGTGATTGCTATGATATGTTATCCCTAGTCAGGAATTGAACCATAGTTACTCGGTCATCACAAATGTGGAACAGTGTATTCATTATTGTTTAACCACTGATTTTCATCCACCCTGCACACACTCCCTCAAAAGACAAAGATCCTCCATAAAGTCTTTATCAGACTGTTTGGGCAAGTGCTGTTAGCGAGCACCTGTGAAAGCCAGCACGGCACACGAGGAGCTGGGTGGCCAGCACCACACCTGGCTGCCTTTGTCTCCCTGTGGGGATGTTTATACTTTGCACTAGGTACTCACACACACGTACATGCACGACAAACCTTTGGAAAACCTTTTAAAAATAATCTATAAGTGCAATAAGTGCAATGTACAACATTTGAGTTCACTTTAGACGTTCTGTTCAATCATTAAATGCACCAGATAGCTTACTAAGACCATGTACACACATATGTTTACAGACTTAGTAATGGTGAAATAACCCAAGCTTTGTTGCCTAATTTGCAAGAACAGGACTCAATGCATTTTACTATAAATGACAGATTTTCTGGAACCTTTCAGTTTTTTAAGGTCTAAAAAGTGTCTGCCTTTATATTATATATATAAAAAATAAAAGAGAGAAAAAAACTCATGAGAACAAAAATGCAAAACAAAATTAAACGTGAACAACTTTTTTGAGGAATGGAGGCTGTCAATTTTAATTCAAGCGTGCCAACTATGGGGATTGCCCTTAAAGGAAACAGCATCCTGGCAAATCTCCTGCAGGCATCCAACTGGGAACCCATCAAACGAGAGCGCTGTCACTTGCCACCTGCCGTGCCCCATGAAAGGCTGGGCGCAGGCTATGAAATCGCGCTTTGTTACAGCGGCACGCAATCATAGACAGTTCCTGTATTGTGCTCATTACCCATGGTGTCAGGGTGAGGAAGGGGAAGAAGGTCTGGGGTGAAACGAGAGTTTTAAATATCCTAATTGAAAAAATAAAACATATGCAGGAGGCGATGATCATGGTTTGAGGTTGTTTCCAGGAGACAAAGAGTCTATTGTGGCTACAGGAGTGTGAAACTCTACACCATGTGGCATGTTGTAAACATTTGGAAGCGAATTTCTGAGCACATTCTGACAAGAATTGAGGAAACACGAACGCGATAACTAAACTGCCTTCCTATTTAAACATCATTCAATAGAAAACTGTTCATGTCTTCTCGTATGGTATTAACACTAAACCATTAAAACATATTTCAAAGATAACATTTTAAATATAAAACAAGTCAATACAATTAAATAGGAGCATGCAAGAATTTAAAGATAATACGTGAAATTTTTTCGCAATTGCTCACAAAGCTTAACATATAAAACATGGATCGGCATTATTCCCCATTCAAACACAACTAAAGATGATATCTTAATTTCAATGGTTGAAAAAGTGTCAACATTAGCAATATTGTCAAGTTTGGAACAATTAATCCATATTGAAAAGGAAGTGTGCTGTACTAACGTCACAGCAAATATTTTCGACAAAAGAGTATGCTGACTTAACCAAAGCAAAATAATGATACTTTAAACAACTCTATTGCGCTCAAATTGTGCAAGCACCTGCAGTCAATCAATGGTTACGTCAATTGAGCCACAACCAAACGTCTTTGAAAAGTCAATCAAGTTAAATATGACAGGTTGCCCAGAAATAATGGGGCACGTTTGTGCAAGGCTGAAGAGCTGCTGTCGGATCAAGAACGTACAGACGTTGTTTTTGTGTCAGCATCATCGTATGCCATCACAACTGCCACCAAGAACGTACCGACGTTGTTTTTGTGTCAGCATCATCGTATGCCATCACAACTGCCACCAAGAACGTACAGACGTTGTTTTTGTGTTAGCATCATCGTATGCCATCACAACTGCCACCAAGAACGTACAGACGTTGTTTTTGTGTCCGCATCATCGTATGCCATCACAACTACCACCAAGAACGTACAGACGTTGTTTTTGTGTCAGCATCATCGTATGCCATCACAACTGCCACCAAAACAAAAACTGCATTTCTCCATTTGGCCCTCCTTTGAATCCGTTCCCCTTCCGATGACACATACACGTACACCATTGGAACTGAATCGAACTAAAATAACTTTATCGGTACACGTCTTCAAGTCGGAAGACGTTACCAAGGCTCCCACAAGGCCATGCGGGAGGGCATGTGGCACAGTGTGGCGCCAGCTATCATAGAGTGCGGTCGTGTCGCTACAGTTCTCTGCAGTGATTAGAATATCTTTAAAAACAACGGTGCTACGCCTCTCTAAATAAAATTAACGGTGAACCGCTTGTGCGATCCGAGATTCGGCGGTCAACAGGACCCACCCTGCAACTTGCAGACGTCTCGGAACGGAAAAGGGTTAATAAACTCGAACCATTAATTTTGATTGCTCTGCCCCTCTTCCTCCCTCACGAAACAATCATCATCAAAATCACCAATTCTCATTTCAACCCTAAAAGGAGATCTTCCTGTGCGAAAGTCTCCAAGGCGGTTCAGCGGCAATCCCTCTCACTTTCAAACGTGGCCCGAGTTAAGTGCTTCACCTCCCCCTTTGATCATTTGTCGTCTCACTCGGTTGACTTTCTCACCACTTGTTTTGCCCATCAATGTTTGTCCTGTCAAGCTTAGTGTCCTGCCTTCATGTTACAATGTTGCTTGTTCTCCAATGCATGTGTCGCTCTTTTATTCATTTCCAAGTTGTTATATACACATGCAGCTTTCACAGCTAACAGTGTTTTTTTAAATATACGAACATTTTTTTCAGCGTTCAAATAGAGAAGTAAAAAAAAATCTGTCTAAAATGTTTGTATCTGCAAGCTCCTCGAGGCATTCTCACATTACCTTTCCCCAAGGTCACGGCTAATCCTCTAACCTAATGAAACCTGGAATTCCATTCTTGGCTGCCAGCAAGTCGATCATACCATCACATCATCCAAATCCATTCATTTGGCTCTGGGAGCCGGGCAAGGAATTAGATGCCCCTGCGGAGCGCTTACAAATGAGCAGGTCCCGCGTGATGTCAGCCGCGCAGGGCCTGTCTGGATGCACTCTCCTACTGCCACCAATGCTGTGCATAGGCATCGTTGGTTTCAGGCTCTTTAATACCCCCCTTAGGCATGCCAGCAGATTGTCGCGAGACATTAGTCATGCCTCTCTGGCCGAAGATGACAATGAACTTTGGGTAACCTAGCATTAACACAAAGGCAGGGGGTGGGGGGACATGCTAGGGCATGGTTTGTTTGAAGAAGGCAGCGGTCATTTAAGGACCTAAATGTTAAATAATCAACCACGTTTTGTATTCCAATACTATTCATCTCTCTTTAGGCACTGAAGTAATTAGGTTAAAAATAAGTTGTTACTCAGCGGCAATGTGTTGAAATGCCCACTTTGGATTACGTTGAATTAATTACGCCTTTTTCAGAAGGGCAAACGTAAAAAATTGTATTTTATAAATGTACAATAACCTGCAAAGGCAACACTGCTCTGAAACCTAAAACTGAATTTTGGCAGCATGACATTAATAACTTTGGTAACTTTCCTCTACCTACTCTGCTCCAATATAATTCAACAGACGCATGCGCTAGAATGACAATGGTATAGTTGCCTCTAATTGTTTAGTAAGTTTGTTGAGATAAACACTGTTAGCGAGCACCTATTATGTACGACAACTGATACGGTGGCAATGGTCCAAGGCCAAGGTTGGCCACCATCGAGTACAAATAACGTGTGTTGCTATATGTTAGGTCAAAAGGTGCAAAGGGGAATATAATTATAATAATTACATTTAATTTGAGGTTAATCAGTCTCTAAGAAACTACAGCTGAAGTACAATAAAACGAATATCTTCAATGCATCTTAATTAAGGTACCTATACTGAACGATCTACATAATAAACTCACAAAGTAATAACCTACCTTAATGAGTCATTAAAGTGCCATCTTAAATGTAAAGACAAGACAACGAGTGTGCTGATGTTAGAGATGACAATGCTAGTATGTACCGGTACATGTGTGGACCAGTACCAGCAACCCACACGTCCTTGGGACGCGACTGCCCGTCCACCCATCCCTCCCTCCACGATGGTCCTCCAGCACCCTCCATTGTCCCTACCTCCCCATCCCAGGGTGCCCCGCTCTCACATGTGACAACCCCCAGGGTGCCCCCTACCCGCATATTC